TACCACCCGGCCTAGCCATATAAATGCTCTATAAATATCGGTCCTAGTTATGAAAAAAAAAAAAAAGAAAGAAAGGGAGTTACAAATGGGGGGTAGAAGGAAAGGAAAGAAGAAGAAGAAAGGAGAAAAAGAGAAGAAATGAAAGGGTGGGTGAACTCCCACTCTATCCAGCTCTGAAAAGGTAGAAACTCACCCCTGTGGGCTTGAGGCTGGCAGGTGTAGTGGGGTTGTTTTCCCCAGTGGTTCTTGTTGTAGCCCAAGCAAGAGTGAGTGATTCTGTTAATAAGTTGGTATATTAATTGGAGACAAATATCCAAAAGTATGCATCCCAAATATTTAGAACTAAGCAGGCAGATCATAAAACTCAGTGGTACTCTTTCATTAAAACACATACATACAAACGTGCACACACACACACACACGCACGTGCATGCATAGTTTGATTCCTGTCTTTTATTTTAGGTAAATGGTGATGTTCTCTGTTTTGGAATGACCAATGGGAGGTTCTTAAGACAGTATAGTCCTCCCACTATCAATAATAATGAGTGTTTATTATAATTAGTTAAGGGAAAGTAATGCCAGCAATTCTGCACTCTGGAAATCTTGTTTTCCAAGTGTTTTTGTTTGTTTGTTTTGAATCGGGGTCTCACTCTGTCACCCAGGCTGGAGTGCAGTGGCACTATCACGGCTCACCACAGCCTTGACTTCCCTCAGACGATCATTTCGCTTCAGCCTCCTGAGTAGTTTGGACTACAGGCGCATGCCACCATGCCCGGCTAATTTTTTTTTTTTTGTAGAGACGATGTCTCACTGCATTGTTCAGACTAGTCTCAGTCTCCTGGGCTCAAGCAATCCTCTTGCCTCAGCCTCCCAAAATGCAGGGATTACAGGCATGAGCCATTACCCCAGCCCTTCTCCAAGTTTTGATGAAATGGTTCTATGTTCTACTAACATGACAGCCAGTGCCCTTCTGCCCTACAGTCTTATCATTAGGTATAATTAGATCCAAATCCCAAAGCAGGGCCAATTTATCTTCCATTACTAGGCAGCCTCATCCTTGCGTCTGGCTGCAGAGACCGCCCTCCCCCACCCAGCTAGCCCATTCCCTGGTGGCCCTGATGCCTCAGAGGGGCCTGTTAGGACTCCAGGCTGTGACCTCACTGTTGTTCTCACATTGATGGCTCTCAACCCTCAAAAACTCTCTCTCATCTTCTTTCTTCGGGACCCTCATTATGCCCTGTTTGGGCAGCTAGTGAAGAGCAGCGTGTTCAGATTAATTGTGTTTTCCAGATTTTTGTAACTGAACATTGAACTACTGAGACATCTCATTGCCAGAGTCTTTGTTTCCTTTACTGAAACCACTTCTGAGTCAAGCTTTTGTCAGAGGTCATTGCTTTGTCTATTCCTTTCTCCAATGGTGCTGAGGTCACTTCACTGAGCAGTTCTGTTCAGGGAGAGTCCAGTTCAGTTTTCTGCATTTGGGGGGCCAAAAAAACCCCCACTATGAATTTTCACAAATGAGCACACCCATATAACCTGTGCCCAGATCAAGAACCTGAAGAGGCCTCCTTCACAGTCCTTTTCTCTGCTCCCCAAGAGAACTCACTTCCCTGACTTCTAATAGCATTGACTGATTTTTGTACCTTATATAAAGGAAACCCTAGTCTGAAATGAACACGTTGTGGTATCTATTGCTGTGTAACAAACACTCAAAGACTCAAAAAGGCTTCATGCCCCCCAGGGAAAGGCCTAAGACAGCCTCAGAGACCCACCGCAGACCTCATCACTCCTCAAGGCTTACTCTCTTTCATCCTCTCCATCACTAAGCTTCTTGAAAACTTTGTCTCACTCACTGTCCCTGTGGGCACCAGTGACCTCCTTGCTGCGGCACGCAGTAAACATTTTTCAGATTTTTCTGCTAGGCAGCCCCTCCAGTCCTTCATTCACTGAGTCACCAATTCCAGGGATTCCCCCTCTTCAACCTGTCGTGTATTTATCCTGCTTCTGTCTCTGCTCACTGTCCCTTGCCTAGACCATTCCAACAGCCTCAAGGCTTACCCCTCCCCCGTCCGCCCCAAGCTGCTCTTCCCAAAACGCCTTGCGTGATTCAAAATATGACCAGCCCACCACCCACCATGGAATCAAAATCAAACTGGCATGGCATGGAGACATGTTAACCCGTTGCTCCGTCCATTGTTCTGCCTTCTGTGCTCTTTGCCTAATACCCTCCCTGAGTCTGCAGTCTTTGGAAACTTGCCTTGGAATTTCTCCTGGGAGGTTCTCTTTTGTCCAGGGGATGCTATTCACCCCATTCCTGACCTGCAAATCTGTTCATCCCTTATTGTCCTGTCTCTACTGCCACTTCCTCTGTGCAGTTCAGGCCTCCTTCTCTGGTCCTGTTTGCTACTCTTAATATTAATACCAAGAAATATCCCTATTATCATATGCTTGGTTCACACCCCCTAGAACATAAGCTCCTCAGGGCAGGATCTTTGTTTTGTTTCTGGCATATCTCAGGCTCCCAGAGATATGCCTGGCACATAGTAGTCACTCAGCAAACCAACCAACTAACATGAAGGCAATGATTCCAAAACTACTGAGGTCTTTCATGAAGAGTGACAACACAGTTTGATTTGTGTTTCTGTTCTGTGAATAAATGGACGGTTAACATTAATTGAGCACTTGTTTTACAACAGGCGCTTTCTCGCATTATCTCATTCCATTCTCACCACAAGCCCTATGAGGAATGAGCTGTTTTATCTCACTTTTTGCATGGGAGGAAACTGAAGCTTAATGAGATTAAAAAACGTGTCCAAGGCATAGAGTGCTAGGATTTGAACCCTGACTGTCTAACTTCTAAATAACCTCACTCAACTATCTTTGAGCTCTGTCTGCCATGGTACTTTGCACATGACTCTACTGAGGGTACAGTAGGTCTTCAGCAAATGAAACAATTAGCCCAGAGTAGTGGAGGTATCTCTTTACTTTTTGTTTTGTTTTTTGAACTGGAGTCTCACTCTGTTGCCCAGGCTGGAGTGCAATGGCACGCTCATGGCCACTGCAGCTTGACCTGCTGGGCTCAAGTGATCCTTTTTTGCCTCAGCCTTCCAAGTAGCTGGAACTACAGGCACACACCACCACACCTGGCTAATTTTTTTTTTTTTTTTTTAATTGTAGAGATGAGGTCTCACCAATTTGCCCGGGTTGGTCTTGAACCCACGGGCTCAGGCAATTCTCTCACCCCGGCCTCCCAAAGTGCTGGGATTATAGGCATGAGCCACAGCATCCAGCCTCTTTTTATGTATTTATCGTTGGAGTATGCTACAAGTCCCTGAGAATAGGAACTGGGTCCTATTATTTTATTACTCTCTCTCCCCGAGTCCCCAAGCAGCTGGGAGAGCGCCTTACACATGTTTGTGTTCACAAAATGTTTACTGAAGAAATAATGGGTGTCCTGTTAAGAGGCAGCATTTGGCAGAGTCCTTGCTGCATAATCAGTAATTCTGATGTTTTGATGACTGTCCTGATGGTTGCCCCGAATCCAGGCCCAGCTCCTGCCTCTGCTAACCCTTTGCTTCTTCAGCACGATGTAGGATCAGGGCTATCCCTGGCTGACCCACCCTCCACCCTGACCCCGGCCCTCTGCCATCCTTCCTGTCCTCATGAATTTCCCCGGCCAGTCTTCCTGCTCTTGGCAGTTGATCACGCAGAGCAAGCTTTGCCCGGCCTCTCCTCTTCGTGACCCCATGCTCTGCTTGAACCTTACTGCTTCCCTGGTCATCCTTGACAGGCAGGGCAACATGACATTTCTGTTGATAATTCTAACACAGAGAGGACTGTGATAAACACAGAGAGAATCACGAGGCATTGTAGGAATTATGAAGAGGAAGACCTTCCTAGTTAAATGATGGAGAAACTGGAAATGAATTAAGTCACTGTCTTTTACATCCTGATGTTTTTATTTTTTAAATAAAGAGTTTAGCTTATCTAGGTTTGCCAATTATTTAGGATTGTTGATTGCAACTAATAGAAACTGGGGCCATTTAAGCTACAAAGGGAAATTTATTACAAGTGTAGAGAGTCTCTAAGAAACTAAAAGGTTGGAATACAGCCAGATCTCAGGGAGAATGGAAGCAGAACCAGAAAATAGTTCAGGATCTGGGTGGCATTTTTCTTTCCATGTCTTCACTGTTGCTGTATATTTGTTTCATTCCTGTCTCTCTGTGGACCTCCTCTAGTCCATAGACCAAATGATGGTACATAGCTGCCAATGGCAACTCTGTTTGTACATGGAGATATTGACTGCCTCTGTCAAAAATCACATCTCCACAAATTACATGACTGACCCAGCACAAGTCAGGTGATCATCCCTGGTCCAATCATCTGTCACCAATGAGCAGCATCATGTTGTACAACATGACTCCCCATCATTCTGGAGGAGAAAGAAGTAGAAAGGACCCTGGTAAACTCAGTAAGCTCTCCCAAAATAAGCGTCTACTATGCTTGGTTCTATCGTCTGATAATGTTCTTAAAAATAATTCTGGTGTAGAGCAAATTCACAGGCTTTCCATCCTTGAAAATCATTTTCTTAAAAAAAACATAAATATGGATAATATAGCAAATACATGAATATGGATTGCTATTTAGCAAACATCACCTTGATTAACTAAGATGATGTTCTATTGGTAATTCCTAACTGGCCTGGTTAGGATAATCTGAAAAGTTTCTCCAACTCGGAAGTGGAAGAGCTATATTCAGGTTTGCCAAGGCAAATCCAGAACTTTGTGTCTAGCCTTCCTGGACTCAGCACTCCTGCCACCGCTGTGTTCCCTGCAGCTGGCACAGAGGATTACACATGTCATGGGCTCAGAGAGCAGGTGTGACCCAACCCAGGCTGTGGTGATAGGGGCTAGGGCCCTGTCCTAGAGGATGGACCTTGCGACTCCTCCTTCGAGGAATATATAAACCTTTTCAGTGACACTCCCTGACTTGTCTTCCAGGCTCCCTGGGTACAGCAGGCCGTGTGTGCAACCTGACTTCCCGAGGCATGGACAGCTGCGAAGTCATGTGTTGCGGGAGAGGCTACGACACCTCCCGCGTCACCCGGATGACCAAGTGTGAGTGTAAGTTCCACTGGTGCTGTGCCGTGCGCTGTCAGGACTGCCTGGAGGCCCTGGATGTGCACACATGCAAGGCGCCCAAGAACGCTGACTGGGCGACCTCCACATGACCCCAGCAGAGGTCCGCATCCACCTTCCCTCCCACAAGGACTTCATTGGATCTGCAAGGACACTGGACCTTTGGGGTCTCTCCCGGGGGAGATTTCCTAAGGCATGTGGCCTTTCCTCCACAGAAGCCCCTTCTCCCTCCCTGGGGGCCCCAGGACTGGGGTCACATGCCACACTTAAAGCATAACCTATTCTGTCCACCTTCCGGCATCCTGGGGCCATCTCTCTTCCTGGTGAGTTCTCTTTGGAAATAGCATGACAGGCTGTTTGAAGGGGAGGGTGGTGGCCCAGACCACTGTCTCCACTCACCTTGACTTTTCCTCTTTCTAGAGCAAATGGCCAGGCAGAAAAAAAGGGTATTTCAAAGAAGCTTTTTCTTTGCCTTCTAAAAAACGCTTCCAGTTAAGAAATTCCGCACTTTTCTCCAGTGGGTAAAGAAAGCAGAATCAACTGCCACTGAATTATCTTTAATTCTTGGGGAAAAAATAAGCAAAGCTTTTGTCTGATCAAGTGATTTTCACAGCCACCACCCCAGGGGTAATTGGTAATTGCCTGGAGAATGATGGCTTTTGGTAAACTTCAAGTTAAAAATGCATATTTTTGAAGGCAATGATTGCCATGTTAAAATCTGATGTAATAAGGTGGGAATTCGGGTGTCCTTTGGTTGAATCTTTGCAAAGCAAAAGCCTCAGAAAGTGATTGTTTTGCATTACTGTCCCCTCGATGTAAAGAATCTTTAGGGAATGAAATTTCCTTCTCACTTAGGATCTGAAAGGAATTAAAAAGCAGATGGATGATCTGGCAGTGTTCTGTAACTATTGGGTGAAGATAGTGGAAAGCAATTTAGTGAGTGGAATATCAGAAAATGTGCCTGTACAGATAAAGGAAAAAGGGGAGAATAAAATTCCTATCTGGTATTATGCATGTGATCCATGGAATTTTGTAACTGAAATGACTGTAAGAATGAAAACTTTGGGAATGACATGACAGTAAACTAAAACGCTGACAGAGAGATTTCCAGAGCTAAGTCCTGCCTGGGGCAACCTTACCATAAGCAGATGCCTGAGAGAAGTTGGCCACATGTGCTGAAAAGCATCAGTGGGTGCCCGTCACCCATCAAGCACATTTTAAAGACCTGTCATATTTAATTGTATTTATTTGATGCTTACAAGATGACGTGATACTGTAGCCTACAGCAAATGACACATAGCATTGCTTATAAAGTTGGTAACCCTGCTATATTACATTGCAAACAAATCATAACTTGGAGACTATATTTAGGGAACTCAACTGTAATTATGGGAACATCACTATGCAAATAGTGGTTGGCTTTTGCCATCAGCTGAAAGATGACATTCAGGGAAAATGGAGAGGCTGCCTGTACCACTTTTTATATTCAATGAAAGAAAAAGTGAAATAGACGAAGCTACTTATCATCATCTTGAACAGTTTAGTTCATGTTCTATATGTGATCTCCTCACAGAAATACATTAACTAACAGGTATTTCATTATATGCATCTGGTGTCAAATTCTTGATGCTGCTCACTCTAATACTTTGCAGTAGGTCATTGAGACGGAAGCTTATGGAAACAACCTACAGGAGTACTTTGTCATACCTGATGTTTGCCTCTTAGCCCTCTTAAAAATGACAGAATGTGTCCCCTTTCTCTCACTCCCAAGCCTCCAAATTAGTTGTAACTTTTCCAAAGTGCCTGTTTCTTCTTTTGACCCTATGGATTCAGAAGGTGGGGATAGGGAAGCATGGTGGTGGCTGCTCTGAGCTTGGTCGGTGGAAGACTTGGTTGGCTGCTCAGTCTTGAGTGATACTGAAGCTTGGTGTGAATGCCTTTATGGGCAAAGGCACTTCCATGGGGATCCACACCCATCAGCCCTTCTTCCTACTAGGTGAACTGCAAAGTCACCAATCCGTGGCTATGTCTAGAATTGGATCTTCAAGGACATCTCAACTCTGCTCAGTTTGGGGAAACTGAGGTTAAGGGAGGCAAAGGGATCTGTACACATATCAGTCATGGCCCCAATGCACCCGACAAATAGGACCACATTCTGAGAGTGTTTGAGAAAGACTAGGCTTTTAACTTTTAAATGAAACTAGTTTCTCCCAGAATTAACTCAGTGGATTCCATATTTTAGCTTCTAATGGAATGTTCACTGTTGTTGTTATTTGTTTAATTCCTGGGATGTTTAGATCTGACTTTTTTTGGTGCTAAAACATGTCCTTCCTGATAAGTAGCAAGGAGACAAGGCATATCCTTGTAGAAATCTACATAAATTGTCCTAATTGGAGGAGTGACCATGGCAACGGTTGTGAGTGGCAATGGGTCCTGTCACTGAGGAGGGCAAAAGAAAGAATGAAATGTTTTTATCTGCTTTTACTTCTGAAAGAAGAGATGTCTCTCATTTGAAAGAAAAATGTAAGTGAAGATAATTTCAAGTTCACTTGCTTTAGGGCTTGGTAGAGGATCAATATTCAGAATTCTGAAATACACTGGAACTCTTGATTATCAGAAGCTTTTAAGGGAATATATGGCATGAATTACCCAAAACAGAGTAATGAGAAAGTCCATTCAGGTCAAATCCCCTTATAAATTTCCTCCTAATAAGAATCGTATTATAAATTGAATTTTTCTAGGCCCAATTAATAATGCCCATTAATTTTCTGCTCTATCTGAAAATGTTCCCACAAGAGGAGACATAGACGCTAGTCCACTGGAATTTTTTTACAATAAAGATATAATCTGTACGTGACTCTGAGACTTAGCATTTGAACTGCTTTCTTCAACAGACTTGCTTCCCTAACTCAGTTTGTGGTACCGGCTGATATTTGTCTGTGTTCTCAGAACATGCTTTGTCAAAGTACATTTTGGCTACAGCTAGAATGACTGCCCATTCTAGACAGTTCCCTCACGGTCTGAAAGAGTTAACTCCTGCCTTAAGAAATCAATTCATCTTCTCAGACGGCTTAAGCTCATGCATAGAAGTCCCCAGGGCCACGACTGCTCTCAGCTCTGGCTCTGTGACCCTGAGGAATGAAGGAGGACCCTGGCATGTGACTGGACTCCAGATGCTTCCAGATGGAAGTGGGAGAGAAATAGGGCACCCCAGAAAACTGACAATCCGCTCTCCCTTATCTGGGTGTCACCAGATTGAAATAAACATCTGAAAAGAAGGATCTGTCTCAAGGCACTTAGGTCTGAGTGTGGCCAGATGACGGGAGGGTTCATGGGAGGGAAAGAGCCAGGTGACTCTTGCCAGGTGACTAGCCAAGCTTGGCGATCAAGGGCAGTGTTTTTTCTGCTTTAGTTGGTAACCCACACCCTTCTTCCTGCTGTGGCTTCCTTATCCTAAGCCCAGGACTGACCTTCTGAAGGAAGGCCCATGGGATTCAGGGCCCCTGGCCACAGCTCAGATCAGCCATGCCTGTTGTGTAGCTCTGTGCCAGGTGGTCAATGTTCATTTTAAAGAGGTGTCTTGAAATTTTCACAACTATATTTCTTTGTATTAGAATTGTTTTTGAAAAATCTGTAAAACAAACCAAAACCAAAAACTAGGTACTGCATTTCTTTTTCAAAGAAAGGCAGCTTGAAAGTCAGAAAATTCCATTCCACGTCAACATTTCTGGGCCATATTAATTTCTGAAGGAAACCCATATCAACTCTAGGAGACCAAAGCCAGGGCTGTCTCAGAAGCAGGCAACATGACCGTGCACGTGCTCTCCTTGCTGGCCCTTTCAGGCCGGGATATTGTTATTACTTCTCAGTTATTAAAGGCTGGCCTGGGGCTGTTGTCTCGCTCAGCTGAAAAACATTCATCTCCTCTCTTGCCGACTCTCAAAATAAAGGCTCACAGAGGTGTCCAGTGGACCAGAACCATTCTTTTGTGTCTATTTACTGTACTTCTACCTGGGTTTCCTTATCTTAAGAGCAAGTGTTGTGCTCGACAAATAGACCTTGCCAGTTCCAAAGCTGGTAAATAGCTTTTGTCAAGTCTGTGCTGTACCTCTGAAAAGCGATCTGCTGGTGTGAGCTGACAGCTGAGCCCTGCGTCTTCTGACCTTCTCCTTACCTAGGCAGAGAAAATCTTCACTCATCCATGAGAATGTTCTTCACATTTTTCTGGGGATCAGCAAGGTGACAGGTGGTTTGCAAAACCCAACATGATTATTATTTTTCTAAATCAGAGTTGTTCTAGCTCTAGCTTTTTTCCCCCGATCTATTCACATGGATTCCTGTTTAACCAAACCTCCCACTTCCACAAGCTAATAAAAGTGTCACGAAGATTGTTACAAAGAACTATTGTTATTTACAAGTCTACATTTTCTGTGAAATCAAAACATAATAAAGCGAATTTTCAGTGTTAATGTTGTTATTTTAAACTCATGGTTGTCCTGCCAAACCCTCTGGTGAAAAGAATTCTCTGCAGGTTATGGGAACGATTCCCTTGTCTTTTCTCAGGAACATGCTTAAAACAACTTGATCAAGAGGCTTCTTTCAAGTTTGTAAAGATGGGCAGGGATGGTGATTGACGTGCCTCACTGATAAATATTTCTGTGAGTTGATGGGTAAGATTTATATTCAAAATGGAGAAATTATGCCAGAATTTTACCGTGTTTTCCTGTGGGTACCATCTAAGTGCTTGCCCTCTTTTGGTGCTACCAAGCTTTGGCAGTGTTTATGAATTTAGTGTCTCCCCAGCAGTGAACGGCCTCCGGTCGACATCTCTGATTTATTGCTTTCCTTGTGCCTACTCTTGGCTGACATGGCATTTTCTCATCTTGATTAGAAACATACTAGATCCCTGCCCCATTATTGAGATCTGTATGTCCTGACTGTGCGGGCTACTTACATCAAGCAGTAAAAGCTCAGGAAAGGAGAACTAACTCTCTTCCAGCAAAGGAAGTCCAATTCCCCCTCCACTTTCTCTTCACCAGTGAGCTGTTTTTTGGGGTTACCTAAGTGAGGTACTGGTTCTGTACTTCAAGCACCTCAATGTGCCCCATAGTTGAACTGCTCACTGTCCCTCTAGGATTCCATTGTCCCTTCCAGAAACTCCCACACCTACTTGGATGATCTGAAAAAAGAGGTGATGATTCATGTCTGTGTGTCTTTTAAAGAACATCTCCCTAAAATATTTTTGCCCAAGAATTGTCTGCAATATGTTCCTATGATCTAACCCTTTGTGGGACAGGGCTGTCCTGCACATTGTAGGATGCAACCCTAGATTATACCCACGAGATGCCAGAAGGAATCCCTTCAACCCCCAGTTGTAACAACCAAAAATGTCTCCAGACATTGCCAAATGTTTCTCAAGGAAGGAAGGAAAAGTGAGAATAAAACTGTTCCTGATTCAAAACCATTGGTCTGACACTTGGGGTTAAATCCTCTATTAAAGTGCAAGCCACCTACAGTTATGGAGAATATTAGTTTAATGTGATTGAGACAGAGTTTCACTCTGTCACTCAGGCTGGAGTGCAGTGGCGCAATCATAGCTCACTGCAACCTCGGATTCCTGGGCTCAAGGAATCCTCTCACCTCAGCCTTCAGAGTAACCGAGACTATCAGCAGGTGTCAACACACTCAACTAATTTTTTTTTTTAATTTTTTGTAGAGACAGAGTTTCTCTATGTTGCCCAACCTGGTCTTGAACTCCTGGCCTCAAGTGATCCTAATGCCTCCGCCTTCTGAGTAGCTTGGACTACAGGCAGTCATCACTGAACTTAGATAACTTATTTTTATTTTTGTAGACAAGATCTCACTGTGTTGCCCAGGCTGTTTACTCCTGGCCTCAAGTAATCCTCCTGTCTTGGCCTCCCAAAGTACTGAGAATACAGGTACAAGCCATCATGCCTGAGCAAATCCTCAGAATAAAAATATCAGTCTTGCTAGAAGGTACCTTTTGGAAAAGGGATGGTTATAGAATCCCTCAGCATCATGGAGTAAAATGAGAAAGGATACAACTTAACTTAGAGCTCCCTTAGGCCTGCACTGTATATCTGCACTGGTGCCTGGGAAAGTATAGACCCTGAGCATTCTCTATAGCATTAGCTGTAGAGAATTGCATGGAGGATGGAAGGTTAACAAGGAGAAAAAGTCATGTGGTTTTAGAAGCAAGAGGGAGAATCCTTAGGAATTCCTTGGTTTCACAACATTCGGTGGGAAAACAAAAACAAAAACCCCCAAGCCCCCGGATACGTATGGCCTGGAAGATGGAGGAGTGAGATCACTATAGCTCTGCATCAAACAGTTACATAATTTTGAGTTTCTCAAGACAGCCAGAGTGGAGGGTAACAGTGAAGAGGAAATGCAAAAAGGAGAAAGTCTGAGCTTCAAGCAAAGAGAGATAATTTCAAGTTTGAAGCCAGGATGGGTTTTATTTTCAGGTTGTTTATTGAAACCCCACCTCCTACTGCCAGTTGCCCCTACTGCGATAAACGTGACCTCCTTTGGGTGGTATTTCAGCAGAGTGAAGGAATGAAGTGTTATCCAAATGTGCCAACAAAGAGTTGGAAAGA